CACAAGCTATATCTGACAAACATACTAGCTTATTTATGAGATTGACCATTTTTATCAACTACCAAGAAAGGAGACCGTTGATTTTTCATTGTTTTTGAACTTCTGGTAGTCTGTCAGGTCTTAATTATTAAATAATATAGGGCATTAAGTCCATCCTTATGCAGTAATATTTAACTCGATAAATATTTTATATATATTTGAGTTTAAAATAAACAAATCTATTTTTTTTCACTTTGACTTCATTTTTTGTATTTTACATTATTTCAGTTGCCGTTGTCATGCCGTGTGTATCATAATTGCTGGCAATGAACTGATAGAACAGCATCACATTCAACTGCAGAACGGGAACCATCTGAATAATCTAGTCCATCCTCTTTGCAATCTGAAGTGAGTAATGTATTGCACCCAGAACAACAAAGCTTAGATCATGCATCACACAGTGTACTGCTAACTAATTATTTAAAAGCGCCACTAACACCAAATCAATGTTTTTTACCTGGTTGTAACAATTCCAATGGACTCAATGTTCCATCAGAATTGCGAGTATGTCTCTTTTGTGACTACAATTACTATGTACGTATGTTATACGTGGTAGAGAAATGCTGCAGTTATATTAGAAGTATAGTTGTAGCATGAATGGGTCGGCTCGACCGGGGAAGGACCACACTCTCACAGAATACCAGCGTAAAATAGTAGCTTAATGCTGCTGTGTTTTGTACGGTGAGTGTAGAGAACCGGAGACCCTTTTTACTGGAAACGAGAAAATGATCATAGTCCTCACGGGTGACAACGCATCTGCATTTTGATTTGTAACAGAGGATAGATGTGGATGTCTAAGGGCCGTAGCAATGTCTCCAGCAGATTGTGAATCTCAGTTAATGACAAGATATGCTAATAAATCCAGAGCCGTGACTATGTGTCGATATGAGTAGGAGAGGTGGTGGATGGCATTTTTAAAACTGAATTTAAAATATTTCATTAAAATTACTATAACAGGGCTTCTACACATTTGATGATAGACTGCTGTGGCTGCTGTTATAATTAATAAATTCCACACAAAAATAAGGGACAGGGATTATGCAGCTCAAATACTTGAAATAGTTCACCAAAATATGGAGACAAATAATGATTTGTCTTAGTATGCTAGGGAAAACAATCTAAATAGAGCTAGGGCAGGCAGACTTTAGAAATATAAATGTAGACTTTAAAATGTTAGGGAATTTCCTGTTTTAACTTACAGCGACTTAATATTAATTGCTTGTGTCACATACCAATTAAAGGAAGCTCGCTACTATTATGGTGAGCATATAAGATTTAATGGTTGCTACCGGATAGAACTCTGTGATAACCAGAGGAGCAGCATTATGGAAGGAATAAACTTAAGCCCTAGCTGATCTTTACTTAGGGCTAGAATTGCAAGTCATCACCATTAGTCTTAAAGTGTATTTTATATATATTTTAATTAGTGGCAATGGTTCTGGTAGAAGTGCAATTAAAAAGTACTGTCGGCCGTCGAACTGTTGGATGCTGTGCCCATGTTATGACAGTAATATGATATTTGGGTTGGGCACGGCATCAGACTAATATTTTGCTTCCTGCTCAGTTCCTGAATGATGTATTGATGTGTAAATTAGAGGCAAATAATTCCTTAGCTTTCCTAGATGCGTTAGTCATCCAAAATTCTAACAACACCATAGGTCACACTGTGTATAGAAAACAATGAATTTCGCCATTGTCCTTCACAGTTAGTTACCGTGAGCAAATCTTTGTTACAGAGAGCACAAGGGATCTGTGGCAGCAAACATCGAGCCGTCGAGCTTCAGCACGTCAAGCAGGTTCTGCACTTCAACAAGCTTCAGGCCCGCGCTTACGTCACAGTGACCGAGTGAAGCCGACCACAGTCAAGCATGTGCAGTACTAGCATTTGTCAGGGGTGTCACAGACAAGATTGGCTACATCTTGAAGCGAGCTGACATGAAGTATCAAGGTTCAGGGAAGTTTGCAGTTTGTGATCATATCCTGGACGGCCCCAACCAGATAGACGTATAAAAAAGATTTGATAGACCACAAATCCTCTAAAAGGTACATCAATTCCTATCAAGGATCGATACCTGAGACTATTGAAATAAAAAAAAATTTCAATAGAGAAGGAAGCTTGGTACTACCACCTGCCTAAGACACAGTAAGTTCATTCTGTAGATCGGACCATAAATAAAAATTAAAAATCTGAAGGTACTCCGGGTTAACACTGACATTGGGACGTCAGTCACCTCAGTCCACCGTAACCATGGGTGTTGGAAAGCACCCGAAACGTCTGGAATTAAAAATCAAAGAAATAAAACGCGATAAAATCGATAAAAATATTTGTTAAAAAAACTGCATTTGTGAAAATAAAAACTTATATATCTTCAAAACCCCGAATTTTTTTAAGGCAATTCCTTAATCATTTCATTGTTTTAATTGCATATTATCATATCTATATGCTTTTATATGTGGGCACCCATGGCCGAAGTGTCTATGAAGAGTGGGCAATCCCCTTTGATAACTCTCACAACTACACAAACTTAAAATTTAGGCAATTTTAACTATTTAAAATTCGACCTTATTGCTTTGACTATATATTATACTTACGTAATGTGCACCGTTGTGTGATAACTACCAAAACATCGCAACGATATCCATATTCGTTTCATCTCTTTCTATACTTATTTAAACTATCGTTGCAAGAACGAGAAGCGACGAATATCAAAGAAGGTCGTCGGTTAGTGGGCCGTTTTCCGTTTTGGGAGATCGTTACACAGTTTGCGTTTGCGTTGGTTAGGTATATGGTTTTGGTTGGATATGTGATAACGGTTTTGTACTTAGGTTTATCGATATGATATGATATTTGATAACATAACGTTATTAGTTACGTTTTGATATATCGGTCTCATGCCTAATAACTTTTAAAAAACGAAGTTAAAAGTTAATATAAAACATAATACTTATCTGGTATATGAGTATGAGAATAGGTCATGAGATAATGTTCTACAAAGCGATACTTTACTAATTTAGTATCGTATTGTAATGTCTAGGAGAAATTTCAAGATTTTACCAGTATATGTTAAAATAAATTGTTATTTTAGTATATCTAAAAAAAAAAAACAATTGAAAAATATTTGGGAATCACAAAAAGTTGTGTCCAGAAAGGGGATAGAACCCACACCACTCCGTGCAAGGCCACCCTACCTGCCCATAGAATATTTCTATCTCGACGTTTTTTGGTTCTAGAAAATCGAAGTCATCCGATTTCGATGATTTTTTTATAATCTTCGTTTTTATGGCGGATTTAGGAAAAAAATGGAAAATATCTTACCTGAAGATTTCAACTTAGATTATTGACAGATAGACCTAGGTATCAATCTTAGGATTTCATAAAGTTTTATGACTTTAAATTTGATCATAAACGCACTACTTCGAATATAATCGTTCATAACTTTTTTGCAAAGCACTAAACGAAGTTTATATATTTTTTGTCACAACCGACGAACATTTAAAAAAAAAGAATATTTAAATATTTTGGGGTTTTGAGATGTCGAGGAGAACAAGTACCCCCAGATGATCCAGAAATTATCCCCCTGCTCCCTGGAATTATAAATGATGGACAGATACCCTCTGTTGTGGATGCAGGATCTACCCGAGAATACAGGGCACGAGATGCACTAATATCAGATTATTTTCAAAATTTATTGCGAAAAGTTTTTGTAACTATTGGTTTTAGTTTGGGTTAAGGGCGTTTTTTGTTACTAACATGTGTCCGTTCTTTTGGCCCGGCCACCATTGAAGCCATAACTTTGTGGTGTGAAAGACTGACTGTCTTGAGACAGTTATAGGCAGTTTTTATACAGTTTTTCACACCGGCAAAATTAAGGGTTTTGAAGGTGGATAGGCCAAAGGAACGGACACTACTAACATAGTGTGTAAGTTTATTTTTACCAAAAAAATAAATGTTATTAAAAGCTATAAATACAAACTAATTATGGCATGTTGTATATTTTTATTAAATTAATTGAATTATATTTGGTTTTGGCGTCGCATACACACACCAACAGTCATCGATATTTATCAAATAGGAAATTAGGTACATTACTAGTAGTATATAAAGTAGGAAATTAATTATTACATTTCGTCTTCTGAATTTTCATTGTTCTCTTCTTGATATTCACTCTGTTTTGTCTTAACTCCAATAATAATCTCTCGGTTTTAATTTTTCCTGTTTTAAAATTTCTTTTTTAGTATCCAGTTCTATTTGCGTATTTAGTTTTTTTTGGTCTGCCTCTTCCGCAGCTACATTTTTTTGCAAATATATTGCTTAAATTTTATTCTCGTGGAGCGTTTCTAGAGATTTTGTTGTGGAATTATGTTCAGGTCTTCTCCTTGATATTCCACTTTTTTGTCACTAGCTGTTTTCAGTGAGGCAGATACGGGAGTCCTTAGTAACTGAGGACTATAATCACCCCAATCCTGCTGTACTGATAATGGAGTCCATGGATCCTAAAAGGAAATAAGTAAAATATTTAATTATCATCATCAGCATTAATATGCTAATTTTGATTTCATTAAAATGGTTAAATATTCAGCAGTATACAGCTGAACCGATTTGTGTAAAATTTCATTTTCATTTGTTTCATTTCATTTTTTTTTAAAAAAACGTTACCCCTACACTAAGATTTTCTCTTGTATTGAGGGGGCAGTTTACAAACATAAATTGCACAAGGACGAACATCCAGACCCGGAACAACTACTTGTAGGCCATATAAATACTTGTTCCGTGCGGGATTCGAACCCGCGACCCCCAGCGCAGCCACTCATTGCTAAGCCACTGCGCCACGGAGTCGTCAATTTGTAACAAGTTGAACTGGTCTCAGGACTTAATGGTTATTTTATGTTGTATGTCGATGGGACGAGTTGCGAATGGGTCGACCTGCTAATAACCCTTGTGGGCAATGCTTGAATGTAACTTATAAACTGACTACCTTAGGTGTTTGTGTTTCACATCCCGACATGGTCACATCATCCATTGGAAGCTCTGAGTTATCTGTAAGAATAGATAATATAAATTTTTGATTTCTAATTTGCCATAGTAGGTGAAAATTTGTGGAAACAACATGCATTCAAAATCAGTAAATATTAATATTAGGAAAATGCAGAAGTGCTATGATTGTATCTTACAATATATTATTCTTGTATAATGTAAATACATAAAAATATCCCACTAACCTTCGTTAATTATTTGGGGAGATTGCGGCATATCCACATATTGCACAGGAGTAATTGTTGCTTCTTGGCCACCCTTCTCATCTTGCGTAGGAACGGCCGGAAGAATTGCATCACTATCATAAGGATTACATAAGCCTATTGCACTTGTGGATATAAGGATCAATATCTGCTTAGTACAGGGATCCTCTTTTTTAGGTAAAGCTGGTCCACCAACTAAAATAAATAAAGTATATATTATATTAACCGAGCTTTGCTCGGTTTTTTTAAAGTTACATTTAGATACAAATTACATGAATAATATTTTTGATCTTATTGACATAATAGAAAAAACTGAACTGGTTATTTAAATAAAAATTCATGAGTGGAATTAGTTCAATTAAAATTTTCGTATTTTTAAAAAATAAGAAAAAAAGGGCTCGTAATAATGGATTTTCTCACAAAAGAAGGGAACTTGAAAAAAAAAAGGAAAAAAAGTCGGACCTAAGACGGGACGCGATCCAAGGCATTATGATTTCACGACCGCTCGATATCCACTTGAGCTATTACGATCATTAACACAGTGTCAAAATTTAGTTTTGAGCTTTGCTCGTTTTTTTTTGAAATTACATTTAGATACAAATTACATACTGATGACATATGAATAATATTTGTTGATCTTATTGACATAATAGAAAATACTGAACTGGTTATTTGAATAAATAATCATGAGTGCAATTAGTTTAATTAAAATTTTGATATTTTTGAAAAATACTAAAAAAAGCGCTCGAAATAGTAGATTTTCTCACAAAAGAAGGAACTTTAAAAAAATAGGAAAAAAGTCGGACCGAAAACAGGACGCGAACCAAAGCATTACGATTTCGCGACCGCTCCATATCCACTTGAGCTATTACGATCATTGACAATGTGTCAAAATTTACCTTCTTATATTGTAGCAGTTTTTCATTACCTGAAAACACGGACAAAAAGACATTTTCTAAAATTAAATCCTAGCTAGATCGACTTATTGCCCCCGAAACTCCCTGGAGACTAAATTTTATGAAAATCGTTTGAGCCGTTTCCGAGATTCCGATTATATGTATATAAAAAGAATTGCTCGTTAAAAGGTATAGGATACTTAATACTTCATAATTTTGAACCTACCTGTCAATTACTCTCTGGGGCGTCTCAAAGACATGTATATTTAAAAATTTTGAGAAATAAAAGTATTTATTATTATTATTATTATTGGAGAGTATCAATATAGTTTTCTCATCTGGTTGGGTTCTATAAATATATAATTAATTAATAAATGGAAATGAAAAGATAAATATACATAAATATCAATAAAATTAAATAAATATAAAAATACATAAATAAATAAAAGCCCTACAAGATGGAGGCCCTCGGCAGGGGAGACCAAACGGCCGAGAGTTAGGGGGAAAGGGAAAGAAACCGGTGGACGATGCGGGCGGTATTAACGAGCACCGCACCCAAATGCAGAAGATTTGAGCCTGGAGCGGTCCGCCACGTAGTCCCAGCCGCCTCAGATGACCCGAGAGGCTGACTGGAATTATCCCGTTTGTATAGACGACTACAGGAATAATTTCGGTCGGCAGTCCACCTCACATGTCGGTCACCTCGTGAGCCAGGTCCAGGTATTTTGTTTGCTTATCTGTTTCGGCTTTCACGAGGTTCTCGTCATACAGAATGGTAATGTCGACCAAAAATATCTTTGACTGTGCCCGGTTCATCAGCACAATATCAAGTTTATTCGCAAGAATAGTCCTATCTGTGATGATGGCCCGGTCCCAATAGAGCCTGGCGCGATCATTTTCGAGCACGACTTCCGGCAAGTACTTGTAATACGGCAATTTCCGATCCACGAGACTGATTTTCAGAGCGAGCTCCTGGTGAAGAATTCTGGCTACTAGGTTGTGTCTGTGTAAGTACTCAGAGTTAGAAAGCGCCGAACAACCGGAGATGATATGCTTAAATGACTCCCCAGGATGGCGACAAGCTCGACAGACGTCGACAGTGCCATCCTTTAGGACGTATCTCCGATAGTTGTTGGTCTTATAACCTGATCCTGTATTGCACAGACAAAACCCTCGGTTTCCCCGAAGAGGTCACCGAAGCGCAGCCAGTTGAGGGAGGCGGCTGTATATACGTGGGGCTCATGTAGAGCCCTGTAGTACCTCTCGTGGAGCTCCTTCTCTTTCCATACGGTCTCCCGCTCGGAAATGCTCCGTACTGCCGGGTTCTGCCATTGCTCGTTGGCTAAGGATAGAGGGGTAAGTCCTTTATTACTAGAAATGACGTCATTATAGAATGGATCATCCGATCTCGCCAAGAAGTATTGACGGAGGCTGCACACTTCGCAATTATGCATGATGAGCGGGCTCAGGAAGCCACGCCCACCATGCTTTCGCGGCAAGTACAGCCTCATTACCGACGATCTCGCATGATGCATCCTATGGGACGTCATAGTAGTGCGGACTTTTCTATCCAGGGCGTTAAGTTCAATCTGACTCCACCTGAGTATGCCAAAGGTATACATGAGGACAGGCATAACCTAGTGTGAATAAGACACACGCATATAACGATATGCGTGTGTCTTATTCACACTGGACAAAAGGCTGTTAAGCACTTTGGTCAAGCGTGCATAAAACACGTCGCAAACAGACTGTTTCATACCAGCCTCATCGATACCGATGTTCTGTGACATATCCAGGTATCGGTATGTTTCAGCCTCAGAAAGGGTCCTTAAGTTGACGGGCATGGATAAGTCTATGTCGACAGAGTTAGCAACCCTTCCCCTTTCAACATGGAGGACCGCACACTAATCCGTACCCAGCTCCATTCTAATAGAATTGCTAAATTCACAAGTGATGTTTAGCAATTCCATAAGATTGGAGTGACTGGAGGCGAATAATTTGAGGTCATCCATATAGAAAAGGTGGGTCACTTTTGTACCTCCTTTCCGAAGCTGAAATCCTCTCCCGGAGCCCTCCAGTAAAGTACTGAGAGGGTTCAAAGAGAGGCAGAACCAGATTGCACCCAGACAGTCGCCTTGGAATATACCCCTTCTTATCCTTATGCGGCTTTCCGCAGCTGTCATCCGTTTGCCTAGATGACAGAGGATCGTACTCCACTGCCCCATACACTGCTCGAGGAAGTCTCTAACTGTACAGTCAATCTTGTACAGCTCGAGGACCCTCTTTAGCCATGTATGGGGAACCGAGTCAAATGCTTTTCTGTAATCTATCTAGGCGGCGGAGAAGTTCCGACGGTTGCGTTTCACCACTTTGCCAATGACCGCGTCAATGAGGAGTGGTTCCTTAGTTCCACGACCACCGCCCCGACATCCATTTTGAGCACGCGACATCACCTGATTTGAGTCCAGGTGACGAGTAATTCTCGCGTTCAAAATGGATGTTAGTGTCTTGTATATGGTCGGTAGACACGTGATGGGGTGGTATTTGCGCGGGTCTGTGGTAACCTGGTCTTTAGGAACCAAATGAGTGATCCCAGTAGTGAAGAGGCTGGGGAGCTACTTCTGGTTGAGAGCCTCTTTAAACTGACGGGCGAGCACAGCGTGACACACCATGAACCCCTTAAGCCAGTAGTCATGCAGCCCGTCGAGTCCCGGACTTATCCAGTTCGGGGCTCTACGGACCGCCTCAGCTACGTCATCCGGCGTTATGATGACGGGGTTTATGGGCGTAATACTCGCACACTGACCCGCCACAACTTCCGTCCAAGGGCCCTCGCTGTGGTTTACGGGCTCTGACCACAGGTCGCGCCAGAATGCGACAATGTCGGCCTGATTCGGTGCTGGCCCGTTCCACTTACCATTGGTTGCTCCAATGGTTTATAGAGCCTCTTCTGATCACTCTGGAAGAGACGATTCTGGTTGAACCGTGTCGACCTCTCGGTACATCGCCGAATCCGCTTTCACCAAGCAGCGATTCTCTGCTTCAGGTGGTCTATGCGCTCCGTCAGTTTTTGCATTATATCCGGTTGGGACAAACTAACATTTGTCCTAGCAAATGCCATTCTGACGGTGCGCACAATCCTTGGCCTGTTGTTGCCTGACCTGAAGCACCTGAGGCGCGGCACTAACACCTCTTGGCAAGGTGCTGACTGACTGCGCTGACGTAGTAGTTTTGTCACATAACCGTTACGTCAGCGGGCGATGGGGTCATCACTTCCCTACGCCGTAATATTATATTATGTATTATTATTATTATTTAGGGGTATCTGTATAGTTTTCTCATCTGGTTGGTTTCTATAAATATATAATTATAAATTAAAATGAAAAGATAAATATACATAAATATCAATAAAATAAAATAAATACAAAAAATACACTAATAAATAAAGATCCAACCAGATGGAAGCCCTCGGCAGAGGAGACCAAACGGCCGAGGGTTAGGAGGAAAGGGAAAGAAACCGACGGACGATGCGGGCGGTATCAAGGACCACTGCCTTCTGCATTCGAGCCCGGAGCGGTCCGTCACGGAGTCCCAGTCGCCTCAGATGATCCGAGAGGCTGACGGGGATTAGCCCATTTGCAGAGACGACTACAGGAATAATTTCGGTCGGCCGACCACCCCACATGTCGGTCACCTCGTGAGCCAGGTCCAGATATTTTGTTCGCTTATCTGTTTCGGCTTTCACGAGGTTCTCGTCATACGGAATGGTAATGTTGACCAAAAATATCCTTGACTGTGCCCGGTCCATCAGCACAATATCAGGCTTATTCGCAAGAATAGTCCTGTCTGTGATGATGGCCCGGTCCCAGTAGAGTCTGACGCGGTCATTTTCGAGCACGGCTTCCGGCAAGTACTTGTAATACGACACTTTCCGATCCACGAGACCGTATTTCAGAGCGAGCTCCTGGTGTAGAATTCTGGCTACTAGGTTGTGCCTGTGCAAGTACTCAGAGTTAGAAAGCGCCGAACAACCGGAGATGACATGCCTAAGTGACTCTCCGGGATGGCGACAAGCTCGACAGACGTCGACGGTGCCATCCTTTAGGATGTATCTCCGATAGTTGTTGGTCATAATAACCTGATCCTGTATTGCACAGACAAAACCCTCGGTTTCCCCGAAAAGGTCACCGAAACGTAGCCAGTTGAGGGAGGCGACTGTATTTACGAAGGGCTCATGTAGAGCCTTGTAGTACCTCCCGTGGAGCTCCTTCTCCTTTCATACGGTCTCCCGGTCGGAAATGCTAAGCACTGCTGGGTCCTGCCATTGCTCGTTAGCTAAGGATAGAGGGGTAAGCCCTTTATCACTAGAAATGACGTCATTATAGAATGGATCCGATCTCGATCTCGCCAAGAAGTATTGACGGAGACTGCACACTTCGCGATTATGCATGGTGAGCGCGCTCAGAAAGCCACGCCCACCATGCTTTCGCGGCAAGTACAGCCTCATTACCGACGATCTCGGATGATGCATCCTATGGGACGTCATGGTGGTGCGGACTTTTATATCCAGGGCGTTAAGCTCAGTCTGAGTCCACCTGAGTATGCCAAAGGTATACATGAGGACAGGCATGACCCAGCAGTTATATGCGTGTGACTTATTCACACCGGACAAAAGGCTGTTAAGCACATTGGTCAAGCGTGCATAAAACATGTCGCAAACTGACTGTTTCATACCAGCCTCATCGATACCGATGTTCTGTGACATACCCAGGTATCGGTATGTTTCAGCCTCGGAAGGGTCCTTAAGTTGACGGGCATAGACAAGTCTATGCCCTCAGAGTTAGCAACCCTTCCCCTTTCAACATGGAGGACCGCACACTAATCCGTACCCAGCTCCATTCTAATAGAATTGCTAAATTCACAAGTGATGTTTAGCAATTTCATAAGATTGGAGCGACTGGAGGCGAATAATTTGAGGTCATCCATATAGAAAAGGTGAGTTACTTTTGTCCCTCCTTTCCGTAGCTGAAATCCCCTCCCGGAGCCCTCCAGTAAGGTACTGAGAGGGTTCAGAGAGAGGCAGAACCAGATTGGACTCAGACAATCGCCCTGGAAGATAACCCTTCTTATCCTTATGTGGTTCTCCGTAGCCATCATCCGCTCGCCCAGATGACAAAGGTTCGTATTCCACTGCACCATACACTGCTCAAGGAAGTCTCTAACTGTACAGTCGATCTTGTACAGCTCAAGGACCCTCTTTAGCCATGTATGGGGCACCGAGTCGAACGCCTTTCTGTAGTCTATCCAGGCGGCAGAGAAGTTCCGACGGTTGCATTTCACCACTTTGCCTATGACCGCGTCAATGAGGAGTGGTTCCTTGGTTCCACAACCGCCGCCCCAACATTCATTTTAAGCGCGTGACATCACCTGGTTTAGCTCCAGGTGACGAGTGATTCTCGCGCTCAAAATGGATGTCAGTGTCTTATATATGGTGGGTAGACACGTGATGGGGCGGTATTTGCTCGGGTCTGTGGTATCCTGATCTTTAGGAACCAAGTGAGTGATCTGAACAACTATTACCTCTAGTAGGTGTGTAATAAGCAGGGGTCAAACACAGGAAAGATAAAGTTTCGAAATAGCTGGATGTTGTTTGGTTTAAATCTGCAATATTAATATTTATATCCCCTATAACGAGGATATTTTTGTATTCAGTGTGGTTTACAAGTATATTATGCATAGACTGAATAAAATTGTCAATGTTATGAAAATTGGGGGTCTGTAAATGGCAAATATGACAGTGTCTTTATTTATTTTTAAAAGTAGACAATTTGCCTCTAAAATGTTTGGCTCTTCAATTTTAAAGACAAGATCATTATTAATCAAAACGACTACACCGTCGTTTTGATTGTAGTTAGAAGTAGTACTAAAGGTAGAATACCCTGGCAAATAAGGTAAATTAGTAACATGTGAGAGCCAGCATTCAGAGAGAATTATAATATCACAAGTTAATTCTATTCTTCTCAATAAAACATTAAAATTATTATAATTTTTGTTTATACTCCTAATGTTTTGTTGTAAAATTTTTAGGTATAAATTAGGGTGTAGTATAACATTTTTGCAATGTTCAGGTTCGCATACTTCAAGTTTCGTTATTTCATAGTCATCTATAGTATTAATAACATTTAAGTCTTCTATCGATCACAGTAAATAAAATTAGGCTACTGATAAAAGGATTCACAAACAAGTTTTTTAATATTTTATAAAATACCATTTTTAGTTTTATATATGAAGAGTTTTAAACGTAAATACGTCTTTATTATTTTAATAATTGTTGAAATTTGATGATTCTTAGAAAGTTGGTTACATTAAAAATTGTGATTACAGTACTTAAGAAAGGTATGTTTTGAGATTGTATACGTGTGGGTACATAAAAAATACATTTTGTTAACGTTTTAGTAAGATTGAATGTGTATAACAGCATTTTAAGTCTATTGAATGAATTATAGTGTATAGTAAGTAAAGTATATAAATAAATTATATACAAAAATATAAGTGTGTATGAGATACCTATGATACAAGTTCTTATGTTGTATTTATGTTCTTGAGGTCTTGCTCGTTTTTTATACGAAATAGTGCTTCGCCTTCTTTCTTTCGTAGATATATAGTAACTGGCGTGGCCCAACAAAACTTGTACTCGTTTTTAGCAGCAAAATCTCATGCAAGAAAATGCAAGCGTTTCGTTTTAGGTGTTAAAAAGTCCGTGATAAATATTGGTGTACGCGGGCCTTCGAAGTTTAGGTGTTCTGTGCTGAGCCCTTTTCCATTGTTTTCCTTTTTAAACATTTTTAAGGAATTTAAAAGTTTGATTTTTATCATAATTGATGAAAAGTCTACTATGACTGAATTATTGGACTTACTTTTCGTATAGATTTTCTGAATATTACGTATGTCTGTTTGTTCCAATTTAATTTTTAACACATTTGCAAGCGATGTTACCAAATTTTGCAGATCTTGGTCTGTTTCTCTTTTTATACTCGGGATATTTCTTATTTCAATGCATGACGCACGATTGTTTCTCTCCAATATTTCAATTTTATTTTCTAGATTTTCAATATAAATTTTGTCCACTTTTTTCTCTTGAAGTAAATTATCATATTTATCTTTTAAACTGTCATATTGATGAGACAAAAACTCGAGGGAGGACGAAATATGAGTGTTTTGGTCCTTAATTGTATTAATTATTTCTAATAGTGTTGCGTATTTCTCGTCCTGGGTCGACGTCCAGTTAGAAAAAATACTTTCGAATTTTTGCATAAGAAACTCCATGTCATCGCTTTGCTTCCGCTTCTGAGGTCTCATAGTTATATTTTTGTCCCCTGATAAATCTGGGGATGACGAGGAGCAGTAAAACTGAATTTTGGAAGGTGAACGTTCGATTGGCATATGAAGAATAAAATAAACTCCTTTCTCCTTTGTGTCAAACACAGCGTTTTCTATCACTTAGAGGTGATTTAGTTACAAAAAGTGTAGTCCTATTTGTGGTCTAAGATGCGACTTTCCGACGGCAAAGCGTTTAAAGCGATAAATAGGTAATTTATTGCAAAGAAAAAGAGATAGCTGTATACACTTTTAACAGACATTTAAATCTTGGTAAGAATGCTATCTCACTCACCAATATAATATCTTCGCTCTGTTCAGATGCAGTACGAGACTTTTGTATTATGCCGGCTGTACACGCTCGTCGAGACACTACGAGACAGGCCTAGAGGAGAGCGTTATTTAACATTGTTGTTAAAAACTTCGCGTTTTTCTTTATAAATATTATAACATGTATAGTTTTCTTTGTGAATAAACATTTAAAGTGTATATAAATATTTAGTGTACATAAACAGACATATAATTGGTGTAAATAAATAATAAATATTTTTTTGTATTAAGTTAATTTTTGTGTATTATGTGGATCATAATAATTATGTGATGTGATGGACAATAATACTTAAATACTTACATATTTTGTGACTGTATAAAATTGTACAAAGGTACTAATATTGACAATGTCGCGCACATGTTATAATACCTATAACCTGTTACGTATTCGTAATCATAACATAACACAGTTAAACTAATATTATAATACCTACCTATAATATGTTAATATTTTCGTAATTATAACATAACACAAACGCAAAACTAACCTACGCTATACTGTATACATATGTAACTAATTACAAAAATAAGCAGTTTTGAAACTAGTTACTCATATCCACGAAACGACGTACAACCGATTACGTCCAAGACGTTACGACCCATGTCTAGACAGGGCGAGTACGAGTGTGTACAGGGTGCTCTCGTCGCGTCTCGTCGCGTCTCGTGTCCCTCGTGCGCTCTCGGAAGCGTGTCGGTTTTTTGCGCTCGAGTCAAAGGGTCTCGTAGGTATCGCGATGAAAACCGAGAGCGAATGATGATATTACTTAACGTGTATAACATGTATAATCAAGTAGAAAAATGCAAACATTTTAATATGTAAAAAGTCAAAGGTCGACATTATAACTACACATCAAAGTCTCTACGAAACCGTACTTATATTTAATCGTTAGGGTTTAATTGCTGCTAAAGAATATTCTGTATTTTGTGTACACTTAGTTAAAGAGGTAAAATATTTTGTATTTGTAATTTCTGTTTTGTCTCAAGACGACATACGTGATTTTATTGTTAATAACTTTTTTTTTTGATGATAATGTATAAAGAAGTGTAATACACTGTAAGAAAGTTTATTAAATACAGTGTTTAATGATATTATTGATTTTTTTTATTTTCATTTAAAATATATATGTACTTAAATTTATGAAGAAACATGTGTTTTTTCCGGGACTACTTGAACCTCTCTTTTTCTTTACATAATTACAGTCATCTTTCAATAGATCCTGCTAAGTTTTACAAATCTCATAAAATATTTCATACTCTTAATACCGATATCAATATTTAAGTCTTAAGTGCCAGGTTTATTGAATAATTATTTACTTTATATATATATATATATATATATATATATATATATATAATTTTTTTTAAATATTGTATAACAGGTAGTCGCTAACACTTTCGATATCGATAGTACGCAAGACGACACAAGTATGTGCGCGGGTGACTGGACGCAGGGAGACACTACTTGGAGCTAGCGCGTCGCCCGTTGCTATGGTTTCGCTTCCCCGTATGTCATACCGCACCGCACTGTTCATCTTTCGTGGCGCAAGCCGCAAGCTATACACTATTCTATTCACCGTACATGGTACTGTTACGGTAAATTAATAGAAACTATCCACCATCTCCTTCCTAGCAATGGGTTATTAATTTTATTTTTAGTAAATGTGTAAAAAATATAATAGTTCAAAGGCAAAACGCAGCAAGCGGGCATATGGAGTTCAAACTTCAAATGATACAACGAGTGTGTACATGGTGTGTTCTCCGTCGAGCCTTTACGTGATGAGAGGCACACGAGGTGACGAGATGAGCGTGTTCAGCCGCCATGAGCTACATACATCTAGGGTTGCCAGGTCTTTAAACCGAGAAGCCGAAGAGACCATCCAGCTTTGCCAGACATTTTGGTAAAAAGGCCGGACACCCTTAATTATTCAGTCTTAGTATAACACGATAATATATTTTTTAAAGTAAAACAATGCTAACCTTATATCATTTACTACAAAATTTTAAATTAAAAGAATCAGTGTTCTTTATTATTAATCATTCAATATTCATTACAATATTAGTTTCAATAATTGCAATAGTAGGTATGTATTTAAGTACATGAAAAATGTAAAAAAATGGTCAAATATAAAAAGCCTGACAAATGCCGGACAGGCCTGGACACCGTCTAATTTGGCCGGACACGCAAACAAAAAGCCTGACTGTGTCCGCCTTTATCCGGACGCCTGGCAACGCTACATACATCTGTATACAATACAGTATAGCGCAGGTTAGTTCTGTGTTTGTGTTAGGTTATGATTACAAAAATATTAACAGGTTATAGGTAATTATAACATTAGTTTAACTGTGTTATGTTATGATTATGATTACGAATATATAACATTTTATAGGTGTTATAATTAAAATATGCGCGTGACATCGTCAATATTAGTACTTTTGTACAATTTTATGGTCACAAAATATGTAAGTGCCTAAGTATTATTGTCCATCACATCACATAATTTTTATGATCCACATCTTGCGTGTAAGCCATTAACTATCCCGAAGGGACTCTTTACTCTCGTTGTGCGAGTCATATATCGTGTTACGTACCTACCTATGTTCATCTTAATAATAATCTGTTCAAAACGAAACGCTTACGCGAGCGCCGGTCGTGGTGTGTGTCAACTGCGTACGTAAAATAATCATTACATTTTGTCCACGAAACTGGGTATACGATTATCAAGCTCGTAAGCAGTTTCTGAAACCGATTATGTTAAATAATGCTCACCTCTAGGCATGTCTCGTGGTGTCTCGACGAGCGTGTACAGCCGGCATTACACTTGCATTCCTAGTTTCCTGGTAGCTGATAAATTAATTACGCATAGCTTCACTATTTAATTTATAGAAAAAAATAGATATGCAGAAAATAATTTCTACGAAATTATTATTTAAAAATACGTCTGAAGAAATAAAATTAGAAAAATGGCAAAATCTATATTTGAATGACTGTGGACACGTCCGCTCTGTATCGAATCCAAGAGGGAAGGATGTATGAATCTAAGTAAACAATATAAAATTTAAAAAATAATTTAATATACTATATGAAATGACTTGATTATGATTATCTTAAAGAATTAATAAGGATTCTTCTACAAAATAATTTGTAAATACACATTTTAACACTATTTGGTACCATCTTGTAGGTACTATGAAATATTTTGCTATTTCACGGTAAAAGAAGTGGTCAGAAACATCGTGGCAAAGATAAAGACCTCCCCCCCCCCCGGGGGGAACGAGTAAATAGTAATTTTAATGTAAATATCAGTTGTAATGTAATAATCAGTGTAATAATCAGTTGTCTATAAAAATTAATTTAGAATGTTTCCCACATTCTAAATTAATTTTTATAGACAACTGATCTGTTTAACCGATAGTGCACCCGGAAAAATCCGTAAGTTGCCGTCAGTTAAAACTTTCAACTTAAGATTTCACACTCACGGTCAGTTTTTGGAAGTAGTCAACTGATCAGTTTAAATCAGTTCAACTGATCAGTTTAAATGACAGTGTGTGTCGAGCATTAGAATCAGAAAAATAAACTGCGTCGATTTTTGCGGGTCTCGTTCGTGCCTATACAAAAAAAATACTTACGCCCTTAAAAACGTTTGAATTTCTAGTTTTCTTGTTAAGTTAATTTAATAATAGCTATTTGTAGGCCATAATTATTTTTCTATTTTTGCTAACGGCATTTTTGGCTACACAGATATTTGCATTACATTGCAAACCTCAAGGCTTCTTACAGCATTGCGAGAGCTACAGATGTGATTTAGAGTTTGGACAGCAATTTATTCAGTAAAATTTTTGAAAAATGATTTAAGATAAGTTTTTTTAATACAAATAAATCACTCCATAAAAATCAATTTGGTTTTACCAGAGGTCGATCGACGACGGAGCCCGTTGTTAAGTTTATTAAATTTATTTCTAACTAGCTTTTTACCCGCGGCTTCACTCGCGTGGGCTTGAATTTAGAAACATCGATAATAGCAATGATATTATAAGTAAAAAGGTGTAGATAGGTTACACAATATTCGATCTTCAGCACACTAACGCACACATAAATAACTAAATATTGCAATAACACACTACATTACGATTAGACGTCAAAGTAGGATGGCATGATTAAAATTTCGTAAGCGTAAAAGAGACAAATGTAATTTACGACAGTGCGTGGTTTTGTGTAGTAAGAACGATGTAGAATAATTAATCAGATGTGACATTATACCGTACACCGTGATTTATGCCTAAAACGCGATTCACTCATGAGTGCAAGTAGTAAGTGATAAAGTAGTAAAAATGCATTAAAAGTAAGAAAATAAAAGAAAATTAATGATTTTATTAAAAATTTATTATCAAATAAAGTGCTGTAATAATTATTTATATACGAATTTCCACTTCCCTTCCACTTCAAATTAAACTTATTAATTAATAATGACATAGTTAATTTACCCTTCAATAAAACAAGAATTATATACTATATACTCAGAAGAACTCTCAGAACTGCTTTTTATATTCTTTGATCAGAAACAATATTATTTCTCTTTCAAACTCATTAATGGGGGTATTTTATACCTCTATATTTTTTCTGACAATATATTTTAAAATATGTAATTTTTGAA